CGCCCTCTGCTGGCCAAGTGACTGCAGCGCCGGCCGAGGCACCCCCTGCTGGCCACACGCCCGCTGCCCTGCCTGAGGCCGCCTCTCCCGTCCTGCCCGCGGCCCGGCCTGAGGCCCCCTCTCCAGTCCTGCCCGCGGCCCTGCCTGAGGCCGCCTCTCCCGTCCTGCCCGCGGCCCTGCCTGAGGCCGCCTCTCCCGTCCTGCCCGCGGCCCTGCCTGAGGCCGCCTCTCCCGTCCTGCCCGTGGCCCTGCCTGAGGCCGCCGGGCTCGGGTCCCGCCCACCCTGCCCCCTGGCTTGCCCGTTCGGCCCCTGGCTGTGGCTAGGTGGCTGCCTGCGGGTCCTCCGGCTCGGGGTCGGCGGTCTCCGCCGGGTCCCCCCCTGGTTCCTCGGTGCCAGTCCTCGGTCCCGCCTCCGGCTCCGTGTCGGCTGCCTCCGGGCCCCCCTGCTTCGGCTTGGCGTCGGACGGCACCTTCCTTGGCTCCGGCTGCGCCTCCGCCTGCCGCGGCTTCCCCCTCCTGCCTGCCTTTGCCGCTGTTCCCTCCTGCTACCTCAGTGTCCCCTCCGTCTCTCCCTTGTCCCGTTCCCTCGACCCCTGTGTGGTCCCCTCCTGCTCCCTTCTCCCTCTCGCCTGCGGCCCCTCCGGCCCCTGCCCGTCGCCCGTCTGGGGTCCTTCGGGTGCCCCATCTTCCTCCCCCCTTGGCCTTTCTCCCTCCTGTCTCTGCTCCTCGTCCCTCTGTTCCTCCTCTGTTCACTCCTGGCCCATTTGTGTCGCCTGTGGGTGTTCCTGTTGTGTCTCCTTTCTTTGTTTGCCTGTCTGCCTTTCCTGTCCTTTGTCGGGTCTTGTCCTTCTTCTCGCCCCTGTTTCTGTTTTGTGTCTTGTGGTGCGTTCGTTTTTCTCTCGGAACTCGGAAATTCCGNCAGAGCGGAGGCAGCTGCAGGCGTGCGACCCGCAGGGGCCGCCTGGGCAGGCGCCTCTGGCGTACGGTCAGCAGGGGGCGCCTCAGCGGGCACCTCAGGCAGAGCGGAGGCAGCTGCAGGCGTGAGGTGGGCGTGGCACACATCGGGAGTGGACGGAGCGGGGCGTGACACATAGCTTTTTTTTACTTCACAAAAACCTGGCATTTTTACAAGGGTGTGTACATTTTTATATCCACTGTATAATCCAGGCAGTGCAAGTCAAAAGACAGAGAAGCATCCTTGATGAAATGCATCTTGAAATATTTTTGGATATTTGACTGTAAACTTGCTCACAATTTTGTCAAGTTAAATTCTTAAGTATAATTAATATATTGTTAGTTCTCTTTGAGTGTAATTGGTCAACTGGATTCTATTGGTTTTTTAACTCAGAGATAGACGACCCAACATTGGTGCTGACAAGCACCCTGAAAGGCTGCCTTTTGCCATCAAACACATCAGTCCTAAATGAGTCCTAATGACATATAATCATCCCAGTAATGATAATAAACAAGAGAAGTCTGTTCTTCCCATAATTTGTGGCTCAATTAAGCAAAGCAGAGGGAGGAGAAGAGCAGGTGAAAATGAAGAAAGAGGAAGAAAACAGATGGGGAAAGTGAGCTCTTTTCTGCACACAGATATAGCATACATGGGGTCCCAATGGGAAAAATCCCATACCCTATTTGCCCCAACATCATTTGTGTTCTCATCTGTGTTTTCAGTTAATAAAAGTTAAAGAGTTAAAGAAAAATCAGACATTACTAATGGAGAAACACATGTCCTTCTTGTATATAGGAACATTTTCACACAAAAATACTATCCCTGAATGAAGGAAGTTATGCAGAATGTCATCAAAGTCCAAGAGCAGAGATAGTCACTGCATCAATTCTTTCACCCATAGCTTAGAAACAGCAGAATTTAATTAGATGAACAGCCCTTACACAATAATACAATGTTTTTGCCTCTCTGACATGCTGAAATTTGCACTCAGGACTCAAAATACTTATGGCTTCAGAATGAAGGGAAGACTACCCCCCGTACAACCACAACATAAAAAAAATGTGAAGACACACAAAAATAGAAGCAAAAAATGCGTCAGCATCTCAGCTAAAAGTCGTTATGGTTCACCACACCAGTCGCTACATGGGCCAAGGAAAATGAGTCCTGTGCAATTAAACCAAGAAGATGGGCTTTTTGTGGACAAGAGAACCTATGGGTGGGCCACGCCAGCAATGTTTACACCAGGGTACTACTTAGACCTGCTGTAAGATTCTAGTGGGTTTAAAAACCATAGTGATTTGTGTGTAGAACTGACAAGGAAGACAATCAAGCTATGGAAAACTTCAGTCATTCCCCTAAATATCCAGCCGTGAAATGCTGATAGTCCATGAGAAACTCAAACCACAGCAGACAGTTGCTGCTGTCATCCGTATATCTGTGCCACAAGCAAACATTTAAGAGATTGTACCTATTAACTGTGCAATTTCTCGTTAAGACAATAACACAAAAAGCACCTGACATCGTCTTCAAACTAAGCAGAACACAATGTATGGATGAAGCTGATTCAATTCTGAAACAGATCATCCCACGTTGCACAAAAATTGAAGCAATACCTCTTAGTGGCACCAAAGGAAAGGGTGACCTCAGAGTACATTTGACCTTATGAATATAACAACTCATAAAGTATTTGATGGTCTGGAATTTGATGTTATTACCAGCTCACCAAAAAATGTTATTTAAATAACATTCTGACACAAATTGTCCCAAAACTGAAGTAATAGCACTGTGAGGCAGAACAGGAATATTTTTTAGCATACCGTGGTATTTTTGTTTTGGAAAATTTATCATGGTTTATCATTTATCATTTATCTCCTGCTCAAAATTTTTATTATGGGGGACCATAATGGGAGTGTGAGAGGAGTAGGAATTAGATGGACAGTGGTGTGGGGAATACATTCTTGTCGTGCTGACAGCATCCATCCCTCAATCCATCTATGTTCTATACTGTACCTGTGTATCCGGTGCAGGGTCGTGGGGGTTTGGAGCCTGGAAAGCTTCAGGTATGTGAACTGTAACACCTCAAGTATCCTTGTTTCACTAGACTATTGCAAGTCTATTATCTATCGCAAAGACATTGTCTTATTGTGTATGAGCTTCACATCTACTACTTATTTAGTAATAGACTGTGTCTGTGTAACAGTAGCTGTTATTTGCACTGGGTGTGGCTGAACAAGTCAGCATTTGCAAATGGCCAGGAAAACATCATGAATCATGTCTGCACTAGAATAGGGTGCCACTAACTCATCTCTTTACCAAGAGTAAAAGATAATATAAATTATTGTATAATATATAAAATAAAATATACAGTAGTATAAAATGTAATGTAAACGTTAATCTTCTGCAGGTTCCAAAATTATTTACATGCCATAATTAAAAGAAATGGAAAAAAAATCATTAAGCATGCATGGGGTCAAATTAATTGTTTTCCGTATGTTCTGACCCTTACAGCTAATTGTGTGGGAAAACAAGATAAGGTGATTTTCTCAAAGTCACTCAGATGGTTTTAGTTCTCCTGACTGACAGAGGAAATTATGGGTTGTTATTTGGACTACTGAGGAAAACAGGAGGCTCTGATTTGATGGTTTATACTGATTTATACTGGAAAAAAAAACTTCCTCAATGTCCCATAAACCACTTGCAAAATACTCCCCTGCAAGTACACAGAAATGCACGTTCATGCTTAGATACTTCACAAATGTGCTTGTATACAGTAAATGCAGACAAACAGAAAAGCCATTAACACGTGTGTTGAAACACTTAAGCATGCACCTAATAAAAATCAGCAGCATCAACCAGAAAAGCTTTCCACATGAATTCTGAACAGAATCCCTACCAAACCTGCTGTTTTACCAAACCACAATGTTGAGGACTCCAAACATATTCAAAAACACTATGAATAATTGTGACAACCAATCTGCAGATGCTTTAGCTGAGGCTACTGTCACAAATATATCAAAGTAGATAAAAACAAGTTAAAGTTACATATATGTATAAAGACTTTTCAAAATACTTTGAGCACATGCCTTTCCCCAAAGCACTTTTCATATTTGTTAACTTTATGAATTTAAGATTTATAAAAACCTAGAACCTTGAATTATTAGGCATGGATTAATACACATAAAAACAAATCAACATTCAATATCTATCATCAAGCTATGATAAGGTATGAGGCAACGTGTGTAAAGTTACTAAACATTTGTGTACTTGCCACTTTTTCAGCATTTAGTGCAATGTAAATATAAAAGTTAAATGTAAATATAAATATGAAATATAAATATTAAATGTTAACATATCTAAATGTTAAATGTAAAACTTAAATGTAAATTTAAATATAAATGTTAAATGTAGACTGTAAATGTTGAGAACATATGCAAATTCCCCACGTTCATCTGCGTAGAAATGGGCGGTAACGACGAAAGCATGCTAAGTCAAAAGGGTTTGGCTACAGAACGTGCACTCTCATGGTGTGTTTGATTATTTCTCTCCAAGTCGGAACTCAGATGAAAACGTCACGAGAAACGTAACTTCCCGTCGGAAACACGCCTCTAATATTTATATTTAACATTTATATTTACATTTACCATATATATTTACATTTAACATTTATATTTAACATTTACATTTAATATTTATATATAGACATAACATTTATATTTACATATGATAATTTTGAAAGTTATTTACACAGCAAAAAAATCTGATGACACCATTCACTTCTAGCTAAATGTCATAAAATTGCAATAAATGTTGAAAAAGTGGCAAGTACAAAAATGTTTAGTACCTTTACAAATGGCGTCCCATATACAGGAATACCGATTAGCTTGAAATGCTTTGTGATTATATAAATATCCATATATTTGTTGCTCCACAGACAAAAAAATGGGTGAAGGAGTTTAAAAAAAGCATAGTGCAGAATGTCAGTGAAGGGCAAGTACAAGAAAGCCAATTCATTGTTGCAAAAGTTTTCTTAAAGTGCAAACAATCAGGGGCTTGTGTTATGTGAATGGAATGTTAAAAATACCAAAGCAACAGGAGTGGGCTGGGATGGCATGTGGTCCCGGAAGGCGGGAGGCTCAGTCTGATACCTGTGTAGGGTGCATGGAGAACAGGGCAACATTCTTTTGTTATGCTATCTCCTAAGAATGAGGCCAGCGATAAGATGAGAAAAAAAATTAACGCCAATGACAAGCAGAGATCCTGAGACTGTGATACTCTTACTAGTCATGTGCTAATGGGAGGTATCATCAGAGAACACAGAGTAGGGCAGATATTCACCAGCTGTGGGGTGTAAGGCAGCAGGAGCACCAGGGAGCTCAGGGTGGGGCAGATACTCACCAGCTGTGGGGTGTCGGGCAGCAGGCTAGCTTCTAGGATGGCTGTCTGACTGGCATTCAATCCCAGCCACAGCGAGATAAGTGTGATGAGCAGGTGAGTGGCACTGCACAGGCGGGCAAAGGCCTGGCACAGCAATGCCTGGTTATCTTCTGCTGCATCTGCCAGGGCAATGACCTTAAGAACATAAGAACATAAGAACATAAGAACTATACAAACGAGAGGAGGCCATTCGGCCCATCGAGCTCGCTTGGGGAGAACTTAACTAATAGCTCAGAGTTGTTAAAATCTTATCTAGCTCTGATTTAAAGGAATCCAAGGATTCAGCTTGCACTACGTTATCAGGAAGACTATTCCATACTCTGACACGCTGTCTAAAGAAGTGCTTCCTTAAATCCAGTTTGAAATGTTCTCCCGCTAATTTCCACCTATGGCCACGAGTTCTTGTATTTGAACTAATGCTGAAGTAACTATTCGGTTGAACAGCATCCAAACCTGTTAGAATCTTATAGACCTGGATCATGTCCCCCCTCAGTCTCCTTTGCTTGAGGCTGAACAGATTTAGTTCAAATAACCTTTCCTCGTATGACATTCCTCTAAGACCAGGAATCATTCTTGTGGCCCTACGCTGCACCTTGAAGAAGGGAATACAATCAAGATGAAGGCTAGTTGGATTAAGGGTGTTTTCACAGCTGCACCTTTAAGTCTGGTTAAACTGGAATCTGGTTCATTTTCCATCTTGGTGCAATTCATTTGGGCAGATATGAATACAGTAATTGCACTTGGGTGTGGACCAAAATAACCATACCGAGACCTTTTAGAAGAGGTGGTCTTGGTCCAGTCCCAAATGACCTGTGGTGCAGTTTGTTTGTGGTAGGATTGTGATTACACCTCAATCTGAACCAACTACCAAGTTTCAGCTAAGTGCCTCAATATTATCTCCCCTCTTCCACTCAGTCATCTGACGGCGGCATGTCATCTTCTCAAATTCTGAAGCAGGACAGCATTTTTCAGACGTGCCCTTGAAGTGTATTCAGCATTCTACTGGTATAGTGCAGTCTGGTATATTACCCAGAGAATTACCATATCTATACAAATTCCCATTTCTGCTGTTGCTCCATGTCACACTGCATAGTAATATACAATAGTTCAGAACACAAGACCATCTTTCTGTATTTACTCTCTTACTGTCTGCATTTGCTATATATGTTGATATCTGACCAATAAGTGGAGTGAATGTTCTCATGTGGTTTGTAGTAGGGGACTTTGGTTCGTTTGAATTTTAATCTGTGTAAAAACAAACCAAACCAAGGGGAAAAACTCATCGACTGATTCTGACCAGAACAAACTATAAGTGTGAAAACACCCTAAGGAAGCCTGCTAGGGCCCAGCTCTGTCACACAGTGCAAAGCCAAGAGCCAAGGCTGCTGCTGCTGTTGGCATAACAGAAAGCTTTCTCACAGAACCAAAGCAGCAGACTAAAAAGACTAACACAGACTTATGAATGCACAACAGTCCATAAATCACCAGAATGCCTCACTGCACTGGAGGAATGAAAAAATATTTTTGGCATTTCTTATTCAGTAGCCACTTCACTCAATTCGAGGCATAATTACCAGCACCACCCGTCACATTCACCCGTCACAAAAAGCAATTTAGGCAGCTGTAAAATACATAAAATTAGCATGTGAATTATATAAGATTTTTGTTCTGCACAATAATGGTCTATGATGACAATTTATTATGCATAGGAATTTAGGAATTTTTTAGTATTTGTAATCTGGATACGTAAGTATAAATTTATAGTACAATATTTGTGAGATGATTGGGGTAATGGCACTGGGAGGATGTTACTTGAAACAGAACAGAACTTGAAACAGAACTTTATTTCTTTGTCTTACATACATAGGAAATACCATCCATATGCCAGAAAAAAAAAACAAAAGAATCCCTGTATACAGCATTGGGGAGTTCACATTCCTATGTTTCTAAATAAAAAGCATGGTGTCTACCATAATTCTGACTGACTACTACTTAGTCATTGTATATCCATTTTCTATAGCCACTTATTCAGTGCCAAGTCAAAGTGAACCTGGAGCCTGTCGCAGGCAGAGCATGGTAGGAGACACCCTGGATGGGATGCTGGTCCACTGTAACACACAGATTCACACCTTCCACCAGCCTCTTTTTGTGGAATTTGCAATTGTTTCCATTGTTTGCATGGATTTCTGTTGGGTACTCAGAAGGTGAACTGGCGTCTCTTAGTTGCCCACAGTGTGTGATTGTGCTTGCCTGATGATAGATGGATTTCCACTGGGTACTCAGAAGATGAACCAGCGTCTGTGAGTCGCCCATAGTGTGTGATTGTGCTTGACTAGTGATAAATGGATTTCAGCTGGGTACTCAGAAGGTGAACTGGCATCTCTGAATTGCCCACAGTATGTGATTGTGTTTGCCCGGTACTAGATGGATTTCCACTGAATACTTAGTATCTCTGACTTCCCAAAAGAGTGTGATTGTGTTTGGTAAGTGGTGGATGTGTTTCCTGCATTGTGCTCTATGCTTCTAGTTAGGGTTGCTCTATATCACAATGTGAATATATGGCAGTTAAAGTCATGGCTAAAACAGTGCTATAAAAATAAAGATTGATTGAGACTGATTGACTGACTGATACTAAAACAGTAGTATGTGGGGTGCTCCGCTAAACACATTTAATAAAGGAAAAGCCAAATATATGAAGATTACCAACTTTTAGGTGTCACAATATTCCTCACATTAATATTTTAGGCACACTACTACATAAGAACATAAGAACATGACTAATATAACCGTGACTAATCTGCTTATCAAATTGTGGGAGTAAGTAAATGTCTGTATAATACTGAAAAGCCGGTGTCCAGACAAATGTTTATGGATGTCATCTAAAGCCCTGGTGATTATTGTGCATGCGCTATATACTGTAGTCTTGGTTATATTGCAATGTGATACCGTGCAGCCCTACATCTAGTTTAACAGGTATGGATAATGGATGGAAGCATATGATCATTTGAGTGTGTTATGCTGGTTACATGCAAAAAGCCTGTGGATACAAAAAACACATCTCTTCTCATTCAATGAAATCTTCAAGTAAAACAAATCTGTCAATGCAAGGAACAACTATTTCAGAAATGAAATCACAAGAACCTAGATTCTACTAGTGGCACCAAAGAAGAGACTGTAACATCTGGTGGATGTGCGATTGAGACAGAAATAGCTAAATAATCAGCCAATCCAGCTTGTTCTGTATTTCACAAAACAATATTTTGTCTTTCTGGTATGAAAATATTGTCCAGCTGTGCTGTAATAAATACTTTCTGGCGTGATGACAAGACAGTCTACACTGGACACACTGTGTAAAACACAAAAGGATGCCCAAAGCAGTTTGGTTTCCCAACCTTCAGGTGTGACTCTGAACATACCTTGAGACACTGACCATAACAACTGCACAATGCTTAGACTGCCAACTAAACAATGCAGAAGAAAGCAGAAGTCTCTGTAGCTCTGCGCAGTCAAGCCAAGTGGAATCACTGTTAACGTTCTAATGGATTCTTTGTGAGAAGGAGCATGCAGCTGATTGATGCCAACTAAAAGAACAAATGTGCCTTTGCTCGCACTGGGGGTGTGGTCCAAACTGTAGAATGTATATTCATATTGGTGCTAAAAGTTTCCTACAAACTGGATTAACCATTAAAACCAAAGCGGAGCTACTTGGCAGGCCCTGCCGGCCAGGCTGCATCTCCTCTTCCTTCTTCCTTATCTCTATCTACCAGTCTGAGCAGACATGCAGCACAGCCTTCAAAAGAAAGTCTCATAGACAGATGGAGTTAAGGGTATGAGGTTACATCTCTGCACACAAGAAGCAAGAGCTTTCCTTGAATTCTGTCTGATTTTAACATTCGCAAAATAAATATGCAACTAAGACAACATCAAAACCAAGAGGCAAAAACTTGAACAAACAATATATATAGCAAATACCATTTTGTGCTTATTTGGATGGTTATTTTAGTGTTATTGGGAATGTTCCGGACCATTCTGCTATGATGTGAAGAAAAGCAGGACTACCAACAGCAAGCAACAGCATGACAGCAATTGATTTCAGGGGCTAAGGACTAATTTTCATAAGGAAAAACTGCACAAGAAATGTTTTTTATACAACTAAATTATTTCACGTCATACTAGTAGACAACTGGAAACTTCAGTAATAAATTGAATAATGGAGCAATTCAGAAAAGTTCCCTGTTCAAATGCAATAAAGCTGTTTCCTGGAACACTTCAGTGCCATATTCCTAAGCTCTGCATCACTAGCTGAGTATATTACAATGCCAAAACAACTTCTGAATATAAAAAGCAACACCAGCCTTTATAAAGTTTTAATTTTAAAAAAAGTAGCTTTATTTAATTTATGGTTACTTAGTAAATATTTAGTTTCAAGTGTTGGCCTTTTGACTACATAAACTAAGAAGTAAGAAAAGACTTATGGTTTACTGGTCAGTCTGCTTCCCCATGCTCACTTAAAGTTATGAACCATGCATCAAGAAAGAAAAAATAAGCCGCCAAGATGAGGTTTCTCTGAAGACTCGCCACACTGCCTCTCTGTCACAAGTACAGTGAGAAGTTCAGAGGCCTGGAAGAACCCTGAAATAGATCTGTGCTCATTTGGTTGTAGAGGGATCAGCTAAGATGGTCTGGTTGTCTCACAAGGATGTCACTTTTTCAGCTCACAAGTGAGCTATTCCAAACAGGGGCTGTGGGGCAGAGTCAGGAACTAAGGAGGGGTGACGCCTGGCCTTATAGAGAGCTAGCAAGAACCTGCTAGGGAGGTTTTCATCACATCCCTCAACATGAAAGGTGGGTTGAAGATGGGTAGATAGGCAGATGATGTAAATAACACCCATAAACGTCAGAAAAAATAATCGTGGATGAGAAAAATAAGAATTAGTCACACTGACATGCAATGCCAGGGGAGAGGGGAGAGGGGAAAGGGAAGCCAGTCACACTGACATGCAATGCCAGGGGAGAGGGGAAAGGGAAGCCAGTCACACTGACATGCAATGCCAGGGGAGAGGGGAAAGGGAAGCCAGTCACACTGACATGTAATGCTGGGGGAGAGGGGAGAGGGGAAAGGGAAGCCAGTCACA